TGCTGGGATGCTCTTTTGAAGCTGTTTTGAAATTCTCCAACATTTCTGAACAGGCAGTCCTTCATTTTCATTTTGTGTGGACTCCACATATTATGTAGCCAGTCCTGCTCATCAAATATGCGATCTAAGTAAAAGCAGCCTGCACACTTTTACAGTGCCTATTTATACTGTAGCTGTGAATGTCAGGGGTACTTCAAATGAATGTTAACTTTCAACCATTTATCTCGTTACACATGTGAAAGCAACTGCAGGACGCTTTCTATAAATCATCTTTGAAGCTTCTTCTTTGCACCCCAAACACACACTCAAGGTAGAAATGATGTGTTTGCTATGAAAATTTAATTTTGAGATGGTTCAATAATCTGCTTACTGTCCTTAGCTTTTATCTATAAAGTGTGGAGCCATCAGTGAAGCTGGGAAAACAGTTAAGAACCTATTGCAATAATACAGGTAGAAGGCGATAAGAGCTCAAACTAGTAGGGTGGCAGTGAGGGTGGAGAGAAGTGGACATATTTGGGAAGTAGGAACAATAGGACTGAGTGATGAATGTGGAGCTGAGAGGCAGCTGTCAAGAGTAACATTCATTATATTTCTTGCTTAGGGAACTGAATAGTTGAAGATATAGCAACGGGTCAGGGAATTTTCCACCACAGCTGCATAGTCTCCTTTGTTATGCTTTAGTAAAGACAATCTGAAGAGGCCCCAGCTCTGCCTGCTGATGCTTGGTCAAGTCTAACTCTCATAATGCCTCCTTGAACTACTGTGGCTAACCACAGCAAGAACTCGAAATGACTGTACAGATCAAACCACTTACTCCGCAATAGACCACTAGGGGCAATGGGCTGATACGCCTTGCTCACTGATAATCAGCTCTATTTAGGCTTTTCTTTTGGTTTTTTTTTTTTTGAGCTGGAGTTTCACTCTTGTTGCTCAGGCTGGAGTGCAAGGGCGCAATCTTGGCTCACTGCAACCTCTGCCTCCCGGGTCAAACGATTCTCTTGCCTCAGCCTCCTGAGTAGCTGGGATTATAGGCACCTGCTACCACGTCCAGCTAATTTTTGTATTTTTAGTAGAGACAGTGTTTCACCATGTTGGTCAGGCTGGTCTTGAACTCCTGACCTCAGGTGATCCGCCTGCCTCGGCCTCCCAAAGTGCTGGGATTACAGGCACGAGCCACCACTCCCTGCCTATTTTGTCCTCTAAAGCAAAAAAGAAAGGTGTCTGCCAGGTACATATCATGGTAGTGTCACATACCCTTCCTCCCTTCCTGCTCCCACCAGCCTTCAGGAAAACAAATCTGGGCTTGCTTTATTCTCTCTCTCTTTGGTGAAAGGTGATGGTGGTTATCATAGGGGATGGTCTGGCTTTCAGCCAACCTCAGTAATCAGGCTGCCTTGTCAGGGCTTATCAGTTTTAGCAGGCTGGCAGCTGTTGGCTGAGAAGCAAAGCACAGCTTTAGTGTATACAAATTATATTCATATATATATACAAACACAGTGCCTTTCTACATTATACCTAGGATATGTTAAAATCTCTACGTGACAAAATGAGCATTTGCAAGTGGACTGGAAGTCTATGTATAACAGTAACAGATGAAATATGCCTAAAAGCATATAGCATTTGACTCTAGGCTTAAAAACAACTAAACTTTGATTTAAAAAAAATTAAAATAATTTAAATGAATACCTGCAAATGAAATAAAAGCCAAGACATTTAAAAGATAAAATGAGACCCCTTACCACTATAAAATTAACTCAAAATTGGTCAAAGTACTAAACAGAAGAGCTAAAACTATGAAGAAATAAGAGTAAATCTTCATCTCACCTTTAATGTGACAATATATTTTTAGATATAACACAAAAAGCATAGAAACAAACTAAAAAATTGGACTTCATCAAAATTAAAAAATTTTGAGCCAAAGGACATTATCAAGAAAATGAAGTCCTGGTGTGGTAGCTCAATCCTAGTACTTTGGGAAGGCTAGGTGGGAGATTTCATGAGAACAGGAGTTTAAGACCAGCCTGGGCAACATCATGATACATCATTGCTACATAAAAATAAAATGAAAAACAGGATAAAAATAGGAAATATTTGGGGGGAATAGAGCATAGAAAATTTAAAAAGAGAATAAACAATGTAGGAAATACGAAAATATCTGCAAATTACATATCTGACAAGGACTAGTATCCAGAATGTATAAAGAACTCTTGCAACTCAACAACAAAAAGACAAAGAATCAATTAAAAAATGGGCAAAGGACTTGAATAGATACTTCTCCAAAGAAAATTTAGCAATGGCCAATGAACACATGAAAAGATGCTCAACAATCATTAGTCTTCAGGGAAAGGCAAACCAGGACCACAAAGGGATACTACTTCACACTAAGTTGCCTATAACAAAACAAAAACAACAGGAAAACAAGAGTTGACAAAATGCAAAGAAATTAGAACCCTAGTACATTGCTGGTGAAAATGTAAAATGATGCAGCCACTGTAGAAAACAGTAGTAACATAATTACTACTTAATCCAGTAATTCCAATCCCAAGAATATATCCCTGAAAATTGAAATCAGGTACACAAATACATGTACATGCATGTTTACAGCAGCACTATTCACAATGTCAAAAATGTGGAAATGACCCATCAATAGATAAAGAATTGTGGCATATACGTATGATGTGGTTTGGCTGTGTCCTCATCCAAATTTCATCTTGAATTTTATTCCATAATTTCCACCTGTCATGGGAGAGATCCAGTAGAAGGTAATTGAATCATGGAGGGGTGGGGGTCTTTCCCGTGCTGTTCTGGTGATAGTGAATAAGTCTGATGAGATCTGATGGGTTTATAAAGGGAAGTTCTCCTGCATAATCTCTCGTCTGCCACCTTGCTCCTCCTTAGCTTCTGCCATGTGGAATTGTGAGTCAATTAAACTTTCTCTATAAATTACCCAGTCTTGGGTATATCATTACTAGCAGTGTGAGAACAGACTAATACAACATACAATGGAATATTGAGTCATAAAAAATAATGACATATTGATACGTCAATGTGACACTACAACCTTGTACTGAATCTGCCTATCTAAAAGCTGAGAACAATACACTAAATGAAAAAAACCCAGATACAAAAAGTCACATATTGTATGATTCCATTTATATGAAATGTTCGCAATAGGTAAAACCATGGAGACAGTAAGCAAATTGGTGATTGCCAGGGACTGTGGGAGGGGGAATGGGAATGACTGCTTAACGGTTGTGAAGTTTTCTTTTGGGTGATGAAAATGTTTTGTAACTAGATAGACATGGTAGTTGTACAACATTGGGAATCTACTTAATGCCACTGAATTCTACATTTTAAAATGGCTAATTTTACGATATGTGAATTTTACCCTCATTAAAAAAAAATAAAGTCGGGAAGGAATATGATAGCTGACAATAGATTTTATTTTTTTTCTAGATAGTTCCGGAGAGCAATTCTGAAATAATAAGGAAGAACTTTCTAACAATAGGGCTGTTAAACAGTGGAATGGACTGCCTCCCAAGGAAGTAAGATAACTCTTTACTGAAAGTGATCCAATTGGATGACGAGTTCTCAGGTAAGTTACAGAGAGGATTGCTACATGAGGTATGACTGAGGTTTGTTTTTGGTTTAATTATTTTCAGGATCAAGCTATCTTCCCTCCACGTTTGGAAATTCAGCTGATTCAGTTTTATCAATAGCAGTTTACACAGAGGTCCTGGAGTTAAAGTATTCCTTCAGTTTCAGTTCTAGTGCAGCCCAACCCTTCCAATTTGTAGATGAAGCAAGTGTGGCAGAGAAAGGGGAAAGAGTCAATTACAGCAGAGTAACTTTTCAGGAGCTGAGATGTCAGCTCTCTAGTCTCCTAGTTAAGAGTTGGAGCCATGGCAGCTTCCTGCTGCTAGTTGAGGAAAATCGCACATTTACTCATTGAAAGTATTTGGTAGGCATCTACTACATACTAGACACTTTGCTAAGAGGTCTTGTCTTATATGTAAATATGAAAGATCAAACCCTCAAGTAACAGTGAGCAGTGATAAGCAACCACAAAGACAACTTCTAAACCACGGAGATTTCCAAAACTTTGTTCTACCACTTGTACAAATTCTACTAAAACTTCATGAGATACTAACAAATGACAAAGTGAGTTCACCTGACCGTCGCACCAGCCGCATTCGAAATGGTTAATAGGTTCAACAAAAAAGCAAGCGACTTGGATAATCCTGAGATGGAAGGACGGGACTATTCATTTTTGTGTGTGTTTGAGCAGAAGAGTTGGAAGTCACCACCTGTTCGGGCTGCAAAAGCCCTGGGACCGCTGCAAGGGAAGCAAGCAGAGGCGGGGGGGGCTCCCTAGGAAAATGCCAGCACAGTTCGGGAGGATGCCGGGGATGCCGCGTTCCTCAGTGAAATCTGGCTCCCTCGGGCGCTCCGGGGGAAGCCTAGGCCGACCGCCCCCGGCCCACCCGGCTTTGAAACCCGAAGCGCTTAGGAGGCTTGCGCAAAAGCCTCTCACTCCCCCCGTCTGCTCGGTGGCATGTTTCTAAAATTCCCATCTACACAACATAAACAGGAAACGTGCAGCAAAAGTCCTGTCGGTGCAAATTCTTTGCTTCCAACCAAGGGCGGGAGAATTTCATCTTTGGTGGTGGTGGGGAGCAGCGGAAGCAGCCAACTTTCCAAGTGACCCCTCAACTCTCCGTGTACCTTCCTCCAAATCCTAACAGAATAGAGAAGGCGGAAGGAAGGACCCCCGGCTTTAGGAAAAATAGGGAGGGGGAGAGGGCCATGAACCACCTCCAGGGACCGCGGTGGCGGCGCGTGGCGGGAACACGCCCGGCCGCCCACTCCCCTAGCGCTGCAGTCTGTGAGGCCAGCTGAGGGTGGGGGTGGGCTGGCCGCCCAGGCTTGGGGCCGCCGAGCCAGTAAGGGTGGGGGCGGGGGAGGAGCGGGCACGAGGCGCCGCGCAAGCGCAGAGCGCCCCTCGGTTGTCAAACATGGCTGAAGAGCTGCCGCTGACGCTACTGCAGCTGCAGGGAAAATGCTGAGCCCTCCCGGGCCGGCTGGGCGGCGGCGGCGAGGGCGGCGACGGGGACCCACTTCCCGAGCGCGGCGGCGGCGGCCATGGCCCGGCTGGCGGACTACTTCATCGTGGTAGGCTACGACCATGAGAAGCCAGGTAAGGGTGTGGGGCGGTGCCGCCCCCGGGCCTCCCCGCCCCCGCCCCCGGCCGCTGTCCAGTGGGCTCCGCGGGGCCGGGCATCTGGGCCGGGCGTCGGGGAGGGCCGGGCCGGGTCTCGGAGGAGCTGGCGGTCGGCGTCCGGCCTTCTCCGCGGGGCTGAGCCTGGCGGTGGGCGTGGGGGGCCGGCACGACTGGAGGGGGAGGGAAGATGCCGCGTCTGCCTAGCCCTTGGGCGTGCTAGCTGGGCCTGCGGGAGGCGAGTCGGGGTCGCGCGACCCTCCCTCCAGAGGCATCTGGGTACCCGGGGCAGAGCCCTGGAAGTGGGCCCAGGACAGCAAGGCTGGGAGGGCGGGAGCCAACTGTGCTAAGTTCCTCGGGGATAAACTTCTGCCCTGCATCCTGAATGAGTAACCCGTGACGCAGGGGGTTGTCCTCTCCGAAAGGAAGTGCCGAGAGTCCAGTGCTACCTCACCCCTGTGCTGTTGGGGGCCTAGTGATCGTCCCAGGGAACACGTGGTGCCAGGGAAGGGGAAAGGATTCTTTGCACTTTTACACCTTTCTAGGAAATGCTCCCTATTCTTTCAGGACAAATGAGACAATGTCATGACTTGTCTTTTAACTAAGGACAGCCAGCTGACCGCTGAAGGTGATCTTGTTTCGCTTTAATGTGTTTTCATTGTTCTTTTTGTCACATAATTTTCTTTGTAAGAAACAATTAGGCAAATGCATTGTATTTTACACTTTAATTGATGGACTTCCACAACTTAAGAGAATTCAGGGTTCATGCATGTTTATTTCTGTATTTGCATTCTTTTGTGTTACTATGTAGCTAAGCATAATCTAATAACAGAATGAGATGGGGAACCACTTCTATTTCAGGGCAATTCTAGTCCCACATTTGCAAGGAATTTTAGATATCAGCTCTACATCCCTTTCATTTTTCAGAGATGCTGAGATTGTGTTTTCCATTGGTAGCCCAGAATACCATTGTTCCACCCACTCTTGGTCCACTGTCTCTTTCATTGTTTCTCCTTTAAGAGCTTCCTCTCCTTTAGTGGGAACCTTTCATGTTCTTTTCTCTCTCACCAGTCATGATCTGACTGAGATCAATTGTTAAAAAGAAAGATTAAATTTTTAATCACCTGGCTTCAAAATTTTATTTCCTAGTAATTTTGCATAGTCTGATGTTTCTTTTCTACCAAGATTAAGTGTGGAAAATCAGTTTTTTAATCTTGTTTAGTTTTTAGTGACATTGTTCCACCCCCCTCCCCCCTTTTTTTTTTTGAGGTGGAGCTTCACTCTTGTCGCCCAGATTGGAGTGCAATGGCGCAATCTTGGCTCACTGCAACCTCCGCCTCCTGGATTCAAGCAGTTCTTCTTTCTCAGCCTCCTGAATAGCTGAGATGACAAGTGCCTGCCACTGCGCCTGGCTAATTTTTGTATTTTTTAGTAAAGATGGGGTTTCACTATGTTGGCCAGGCTGATCCTGAACTCCTGACCTCAGGTAATTCGCTGCCTGGGCCCCCCAAAGTGCTGTGGTTACAGTCGTAAGCCACCCTGCCCAGCCACCTCCGCCTTTTAAACGTTTTTGAAACAAAAACAGACTTGCAAAAAAGTTGCAAGAATGGTACAAAAAATTTCCTCTGAACAATTTGAGAGGAAGCTGTTGATTTGATGCCCCGTCATCCAGAATACTTTAATGTGCATTTTCTACAAACGAATATTCTCCTACATGATCACAGTCCAATAACTAAAACAGGAAATGCATAGTGATACAGTACTCCATCTGGTTCTCAGACTGGTTCAAGTTTTGTTGATTATGCTGTTAATCTCTTTATTGGCAAAAGGATCCAGTTTAGCAATATGTGTTGCATTCATGTTATGTGTCTTTTGTCTCCTTCAATCTGGGACATTTCCCTTATCTTCTCTTGACTTTAATGACCTTGACATATTTAACAGTTACAGGTCAGTTATTTTGTAGGCTGCCCCTCAATTTCAGATTGTCTGTTCCTTCATGATTAGATACATGCAGATATGCACTTGGGAAGGATATGGCAGAAGTGATTCCCACTGCATCCTGTCAGGTGGTGCACAATTTCACTTTGTTTCATTGTTGGTTATTTTTACTTTGATTGCTTGATATAAGTAATATCTGCCAAGCTTCTCCACTATAAAGTTAATAGTTAATTGTTTTTGTGAGGTACTTTGAAACTATGTAAATATCTTGTTCCTCACTAAACTCTTAATCCTTTGTTCATTGACATTTACATGGAGTCATGGTTTTTCTCTGTGTGTGTGTGTGCACGCGCGTTCGTGTGTGTGCCCAAGCCTTTAGTGGATTACATTCTGTTACTATTTGCCTTAGTCCATTCGGGCTGTTATAACAAAAATACCTCAAACTGGGTGACTTATAAAAAATAGAAATTTGTTTTTCACAGTCTGTAGGCGGAGAAATCCAAGATTAAGAATCTGACAGATTCAGTGCCTGGTGAGGACCTGATTCCTCATAACCATGTTCTCACTTTAACCTCACGTGGCCTAAGGGTCAAATGAGCTCTTTGGGGTCTCTTTAAATAGGGAACTAATCCCATTCACAAGGACGCCACCCTCATGATCTGATCACCTCCCGAAGGCCTCACCTCATAGTACCATTATCTTGGGTGTCAGGATTTTAACATATGCATTTTGGGAGGCAACGTAAACGTGCGGATTATAGCTTTATTTATTTTGATGGTCAGATTGTTCTTCATTTGGGCAATGAGAGCTGTTCAAGCTGGCTTCTGTTTTCTTATGGTACATCCCCATCACTCTTTGAGAACGTCTTTTTAGTTTTTGGCACAGAACCTGTTCCTGGCTAATCAGGTACTTTCCCTGCCTTGGTTCTGGAACCAGCCATTTAGGGATCCCTGGTTCCTTTTAGTGGAGAATAACATTTAGAAGCTAAGATCTCAAGGCTCATGTGTTTACTGCTGTTGGGCTGTTACTGCTTCCAGGTCCTCTTAATGGTCAGGGATGGGAAGTGTAGGTATGTATGTGTATTACTTCTTCCAGGTCCTCTTAATGGTCAGGACAGGAAGTATAGTTATGTATGCATAAACATACATGTGTATTTGCATGTGTATTTATTTCTTATTTCTGTATATTGAAAACTATGAATTCATACCGATACCTCCAGTTTCAGTCAAATATTCCAGATTCTATTCTAGTTTTCTCCTTTTTCATATTGTAATTTTCTTCTCTGACAGTAAGAAATCTGGCTTCCATCATCCTTAATGTATTTACTTATTGTTCAGTCTCCCATCTTCATTACCATCCACTCCTCTCCCTGCTGGGACTTGGATTTTTCATTCCATCTTCTCCATCCCCCTACCTCAGTCTGGATCTAAAAGTCCATATCAGTATGCTTCAATGCAGGGATACCCTCCCTGGCGCTGTGGCTCTGACTCCCCATGTTGGTCTTTCCACTGTCCGTGGACACACTTCTTACCCCACTTAGACTCTGACATCCTGCAGTGGGCTGCTTCCATTGGAAGACATCCTTCTCGCTCTGTCTGTACTCCAGTGCCCTTTGCCAGTTTCCCCCTCCTGCCTTAATGCTCGGGCTCTGATCCAAAATGTTTGGTTGTTCCCTTACCACACAGACTCCCTCCTTAGCTCCCTTGATCTATGACAATATGACAAGCTCCACCCCAGGAATCCACCTCCACCCCAAGGGTACCATGAACTGCCCTTCCCACAGCAGGAAAAGGGAAGGAAAAGGAGGATTAATTTTTTAAGTAACACAGTCCAGAAGCTTATATAAATTGTAGAATGTCGTTAGTGAAATGCATAACTTTTTAACTTGGGAAAATTCTTTAGTCATGTTGATGGCAGTGGGGAGGTGCGGGCAGTGGCAGCGGGAGCAGCAATGACACTGGTGGGTCCCCTGTGCCCTGTGTACCTGAGGCAGCCGACTGCACCCCTGCCACCCTTGAGCTGCTGAGCAGGACCTGCCTTTAGGTCCAGAGCCTCCTGGGCGCCTGACCCTGGCCCTCTGTCACCACTGTTGCCCACCAGTGCTGCGGGGAGGATATGAGTAGGAGGCAGAGCTGGAGCTGTGGTTTGGGTGTCTGGGGTGGGAAACGGGAGCAGTGCCTGCTTTGGGACCTAGCCAGCAACGTGGTCACTGTACCCACCCTGCCAAGGGCTCTAGGTTCCTGTGCCTCTGGGGAAGCTCTGAGCAGGGCCACCCAGGGCTGTATCCCTGGGGTCTGCCATGCATCGGGTAATTGCCAGGCCTGACACTCCCAAGGGCTGGGTCCAGGACCCACAATCTGTTTCTGGCAGGTCCACGAGCCGGGTGAAGGGGAGCTCGAGGAGCCATTGCTCCTGCCCTGGATGCTGGTCTGGGCCCAGTGAGGACCTGGAGCCCCTGCTCCAGGCCACAAAGGGGCATAATGGGCTGCACACTCAATGGAGCTGGCAGAAGCTGGAGCAGGTAGCAGCCCCACCCTCCTGGGCGTGCTGCAGCCACCCAGGTCAGGGCTGTGGACCCAGGCCTCCCTGTGTTCTTGGGGGCCATAAGTAGGAGCCCCCCGCCAACCCAACACAGCTGCAGCTGCCCCAGTCAGGGCTGTGGACCCAGGCCTCTCTGCACTCTTGGGGCCAGGGAAAGCAACTCTCCTGCCTTTGCAGGCTCGGAGGTGCCTGCTCCTGCTGCCTCATATCTCCCTGCTTCTAGTGCCTGCACCAGTCTCGGAGTGGGGTTGGAGCCAAGCCAGGGTGCTGTCAAGCCCAGCCTGGTGTGTACACACTTAGGTCAGCGCTGACACACCAGGCCTCTGCCTCCTTGGCTCCCTCTGGACTTTGGGTCCTGACAAGCACCATTTGAGCGGTTGAGGGTGGCTTGACACTGGCCTGCAGGTGTCCCTTGATGTGAACATCTTAGGTATAATGGATGGTGGCAGGAAGCAGACAGGCTTCTGGGCAGTAAGGGGTAGGTCCTGGTGAGGCCCCAG